GATGATGATGATGATGATGATGATGATGATGATGATGATGATGATGATGGTAATAATAATAATAATAAACCTAAAAGCAGTACCATATGCCTGTAATCCCTGTAATCCTGAGGCAGGAGAATCATAATTTCAAGGATAGCCTGGGCTACATAACAAAACCCTGATGTGAGATGTCTCTCTATATGCTATTAATATGCTTTATTACCATTGGTTAGTAAAGAAACTGCTTTGGCCGATGGCAGGGCAGAGTATAGCTAGGTGGGGAATCCCAGCAGAGACAGAGGGAGAAAGAAGGCAGAGTGAAGAGACATTAGCCAGCCACCAAGGAAACACGACATGTTGAAAATGTGGTAATACCATGGCCATGTGGCAATACACAGATAGATAGAAATGGGTTAAGTTGTAAGAGCTAGCTGATAGAGGCATGAGCCATCAGCCAAACAATTTGTAATTAATATTAAGACTCTGAGTGGTTCTTTGTGAATTGGAGGGCAGGAGAGAAATGTCTGGTTACAAATGTGCCAATGCAAGGCACATGCATTCACATAAAACCTAAAAAATCTTTTTTAAAAAAAGAATTCTAGACACATAAAAACAGAATCAGAAACGGTTTCTTAGTAGTCACATTTTTTTTTTCAGATAGGCTTTGCTTGCTGACTGTGAACAGCTGTGTGACCCCTTTAGGAGACGGCTTCCCAGTTCATGCTTGTGGCATGGGTGACGCTTTTGGGAGGTCCTGCTAAGGAGCACCTGAATGGGGTTTATGAGCAGTATGCTGCAAGTTACTTGCTGGTGGCGTGGACCCACTGCTTCTGAGTTGGGCCATGTTGGAAAGCCCAGCAGGGCTGAACCAACAGCCAAAGCAGCTGCTCTGGGTGTAGCCATGCCTGCTTCACACTTTTAAACAGTAATCAAAAACTGATTACAGATATGCAATAAAGACAGATTCAGACCAAAAACAAAAACAAAACAAAACAAAAAAACACCTCTAAACAGTAATAAGTCACATAAAGATGGAAGATGGAAAATACACTGAGAGACTGAATTATGTACACTACTGTGTTTTCTTTGAATTTTTTTGACTGTTAATGGACTAACTACACAGAGAGAGAGATTTAATTGTGGGGACTGCTAAGTTAAACCAACATAAAGGTATCTTGATATCAAAATTTGGGTCTAAGACATGTTGCTTTGGAAAAGAGGTTCTGCTTTTGTTTCCACAGAAGATGAGAAGCTGTAGATTCCTTCCAGGCTAATATGGTTTGAACAAGGAAGACTCCCTGAGATGTCTCCAATAAGAATGATGACCCAGGTTATCCAATATCCAAAACAACTTTAAGGCAAATGGCTGAAATGATGCAGCCTCGCGGACTACTACTTAATTTAACCATAATTCTAAATTTTCTAAGGATCCCCATAAGATTACAAATGCTCCCAATGAGCAGGAAGTAGTATAGAAAACTATGTCCAAATTCTGAAATTATTGTTTATAGATGTTTGTTTTCATTTAAAGGGAGTTGGTTATAAATAGTTAATATAAAAATAATATATAAATAGTTAAAGCAGTCAATCTCTTTCTAAAAAAAAAGAAAATATGATATAGAAATGAGATAAAAAGGGATAGATTATTAAATCTACTTTAATCCAATAACAAATGTTAATCTCAAACTACATTGGTATGGATTTTGGTTTATTGATACAAATTTAATGTCAATTTTTTATATTGTATATATATATTTCTATTCTTGTTTAAAGTATTATGTTTATGCAGTTCATTTAAAAATGCAATGTATAATTAAAAATACAGATTAACAGTCATCTATAATAGTCAAACTTATAATCATGTTAATTAAGTTTTCTAGACATGCAGAGAGATATTTCAGATGGATAAGTAATCTTCAAACACTTCAAAACCTATAGAATATGACATTTAAAATGTTTTAATAACTTAGAATTTGTTAGACATGAGATATCTGTTCCTGGCAGTGCTAATTACTTCAAGAGAAAGACGGGCATTGAAGAAGCTCCTTATGAAGTTTGCTTTTAGTGTGGCAAGGCTGGCCATTTGGGCAAGAAACTTCTCTTTCCTGGATTGATAACAATATGCTATATAAACTTTTATTTTTATTTTATTTTTTTATTTTTTAGTGATTTTGAAAATACCAGGAGTGCTGAGATGGGTTGAGTACTGATGGGCTGTATGTAAGCTAACATACAGGACACACAGTAAAATGACTGCTAAACTTGCCAAAACAAAATGGGACAATCCTTCAGGGTTCCTGCTTCACAAAAGAAACTGCCAGACATTCTGCATGACACAGAGGAAAGTAATTGACAAACTGACAATATAATCTTTTAAAATTTCCTGCTTCACTGAAAAGTCTGCCAGATGCTTTGGGAATGTGGGCTGAAGACAGATGCCCCAATGTTGCAGAGGAACTTTGAGTAACTGTGCAGGCAGTTGGATGTCTCTGTCATTTTTAGAGTTTTGGAAGTTGCTTGCAATGCACTTTATATTTATTTGGGTAATATTATATCCTTTTAGGATCTTTGATGGAGTTGAAGACTAGATAACTATAATTGTAGTTTTCCTTAGTTATGATAAAAGATAAATCAGATATGAAACTTTAGACTCATAAAGATAGGGCAGATGCTATATTATTTTCTTTAATTTCGCCAAATACAAATAGACTAAATATTATAACTGTAATTCTTGCTTGATACCTATTTTGTTATATGTAATTTTACAATATTAAAGGGAAAACCTTCCTTTTTGATTAGACAGAAAGGGATAAATTATGTGGGATGTCTCTCTGTATGCTATGAATATGTTTTACTACCATTGGTTAATGAAGAAGCTTCTTTGGCCTATGGCAGGGCAGAATATAGCTATGTGGGAAATCCAAGCAGAGATCGAAGGAGAAAGAAAGCCAAGTCAGGAGACATAAGCCAGCTGTTGAGGAAACAAGACATGTTGAAAATGAGGTAACACCATGGCCATGTGGCAATACATAGATTAAGAAAAATGGGTGAATTTAACGTGCTAATATTTATAATAATAATAATAATAATAATAATAATTGCTTCTAGCTAAGCCTTTGCCTAAAGCCTAAGCCTTTGGCCAAACAGTTTGCAATTAATATTAAGCCTCTGAGTGGTTATTTGGGGACTGGCAGGCAGGAGAGAAATGTTCAGTTACAAAACCTAGTCTCTAAACAAAATAAATAAAACACTAGCCAAGTATGTTGGTTCATCCCTGTAGATCCCAATGCTTTGGGAAGCTGAAACAGCAAAACCACCAAGAACTATAGACCAGTATTGGCTACAAAGTGAGTTCCAGGCCAGAGTAGGGGTAAGAAGTGAAATGCCATCTCATATAAAAACAAAAGAAAGAACAAAACTGATCACAATAATAATAGTAGTCACTGCTAAGTCAAAACTTCTGTTTTTGTATATTTGCATAGGACTGGGGTGATTTCTGTACCTCTTCCTTTGATCTGGCCTTGAAGAAGTCCCTCTCAAACACGCCTTTCTGGGAGAAGATGGAGGGATTCAGCAGGGAGTAAGCATTGCCCTCTTCACCATAGTTATTTCTGTCACTGACACGACGAATCCGAGGAGCGGGAATGTCAGATCGAACGGTCGGAACACCATATATAGGGTAACCTAGGCCATCAGTGAGGGCGAAAAAGACACCCTGAAACTCAGTTATTTAAGAGTAGCCACCAGTTACCCTTGACCACTCAGCACTTGAAATGAAAATGGTCAAACTACAATGGCTTATATGTAAAGTTCAAAGACTACACAAAATCAGAGTGTGGCCAAGCACAACAGGACACACCTTGGTTTCAAGGACATGGGGAGCTGAGGCAGGAGGAATAATCCTTGAGCACAGAAGACCAAGCACAAGTTTAGGAAAGCATTCAACATGCTCATCCATCAGTCTGAATTTTATTAATATAGTTTTTTTTTTAACTTGGGTCATCATGAACAGATCCATAAGACATCTGTTAGATCCCTGAGTACACAGTTAAACCTAAGTCCCAAGGCCTTGAGAAATGTATAATCTACCACAGAGAGAAGCTAGGAACAGTGCAAAGACACACTATGATCATTGCACTTCCAAGTGTACTCATTACTTAACTTGACAAAAAAAAAAAAGTGACATGCTTACATATAGAAGGAACAGCTCCAACAGTTGCACTGATCTCAGAAGAAGTTGTCTTATAGTGGTTTGAAACTTTGTCACTTGGTCTCAGAAGTACCCGGAGAGTCTCTTCTGAACTTCCTGGTTCTTTGGGGACAATGTCTTCAGGCCGTATCAGAAGAGTTGGTTCAGCTTCTCTCACACTAGTCTCAGTAATGTTTTCACAGTCTCGTTTACTACCTTGACCTTGAAGCAAAACCAGAGCCAGAGGACAAGAAGGCACAGGAAGATGTCACTTCTTGGTGCTTGCTGGATTATTTGGACCTGCAAGGTGACTCAGCAGGTAAAGGCATTTGCCACTCCACCAAACCCGACAGCCTAAGGTAGAGCCCAGGGACCCACATTGTAGAAGGAAAGAACTGACTCCCTCAAGTTGTTCTCTGACCTTTACATGTGCACTGTAACATGTGCAGCCACATATGTAGTACACATGAGCAATAATAATAATAATAAATGTAGTGATTCTTAAAGATTAATTTACTTTGTAACCTCCTCCTAACAGTCGAACTGAGCAGCTGCGAAGCTGTTGCCAGTGCCAATGCTCCACTGTGGAACAGCAAGTTCAGGCCAATGTCAGGTGTGATCCCAATACGACCTAGTGTCACTTTCTGCTATTCCAAAAAAAAAAAAATTCTTTCCAGTCAGAGAACCAGAAACAAAGAATCCTTTACCTTTTTTTCTTCCTATACCAGAGTAAGCACAGAGTCTCATGGAAGCCAGACAAGAGCTCCAGCTCTCTCTTTACTCGACTCAGCCTCCTATTCAGCTTCAATTATACAGCTTTCCCCAAGACTGAGCCCTAAAGGGATATAAGACATACCTGGAACTGAAAAGTTCACACATGAGCCAGGGAGATGGCTCAATGAGTAAAGGTATTTGCCAATGAGCTTGACAATCAATCTCTGAGTAAGCCTGAGTTCAATCTCTGGGCCCAACATGTAAAGAGACAACTGTTCCATACTGTCCTCTGACCTGTGGCACACATTGTGAAGCACATACACACTACGTATGCTGTTTCTATAACTATGTTTTCTGCCTGCATATGTATGTATATCAGGTGTGGGACTGGTGCTGCTAGAGATTAGAACAGGACATCAGCTCCCCTGGAACTGGAGCTCCTAATGGTTGTGAGTCACCATGTGGGTGCTAGGATTAGATTCTGGGTCCTTCACATGGGCAACAATTTGCTTTCTACCACCGAGTCATCTCTCCACACCCCCCCCCCAGTATAAAAAAGTTAAAAGATAGATCCACATATTCTTGGACTGGGAGAGAAGAGCATGCCCCATCCAGAGAAGGGATAAGAACATACTGTGAGCTAGGGGCCCACATCTCTAAATAACTTCCTACAAGTTAGTCTACAAAGAAAAACCCAGTACTGTGAATGACAAGGGGGGAGCACGTGCATGAGTCAGCATGCATCAGGCACTGGGCCCAACCCAACTGCTAAAAGGTGAAAACAGTGAAGTAGAACTGAACCTGTTGACCGACTTGTCAGTCACTTCAGAAAGCCAAGATCTAGCTATTCCATAGGCACCACTGGAGGGCACTGTGGTGCTTCCACGGCCACAAAAGACCGCTGAAGAAATCCACACAAGGGTTAAAAAAACGAGCTCTAAGGGACTGTTCTAGGAGATCTAGTTTGGAAAGGCATGCCTTGAAAGTTCAAGAGGCTCTACCCCCGCCATCCCTGTGCCACACACACACACACACACACACACACACACACATACACATACCTCTAAAAGCAGAAAACTGCATCTTTTGGCCAGCCTGGTCTACAGTATGAGTTCCAGGACAGGCTCCAAATCTACACAGAGAAACCCTGTCTCAAAAAAACAAAAATAGAAGAAGAGGAAAAGGAAGAAGAGGGGAGGGGAGGGTACGGGAGGGAAGGGGAGGGAAGGGAAGGGGAGGGGAGGGGAGGACCTGAGTTCACTTCCCAGAAACCACATGGTGGCTAACAACCATCTGTAATGAAATGTGGCACCCTCTTCTGATAAATAAACAAACAAACCTTAGAAAACAAAAAGGCAAATTTCATTGCTGCCCTTCCCCTCAGCCACACATTTTCAACTTCCTGAGTGTTTCACATTCTTTCCTTTCCTTCCATATACATCCCCACATGAACAAACACATGTGCACACTGTCCTATTTCCCTTCATGTTGCTGTGACAAATACTATGACCAGAAACAAGTTGGAGGAGTAAAGGGTTTATTTGGCTTGCACAAGGTCTCAGTCCACCATTGGCAAACGTCAGAGCGTGAACTGAAGCAGGAACAGAACCAGAAACTGTGGAGGAACATTGTTTACTGGTTTCTCTTGCTCATGCTCAGCTATCTTTTTTTTAAATTTTACTTATTATTTTTATCTATGTGATTCTGTGTGAGGCTCCATGAGTCTATGTGCACCACATTCATACAGGTGCCTGTGGAGGCCAGAGGGCAGTGAGTCCCCTGGAATTAAAGTTACATTCAGTTGAGAGTCCCCTGGTGTGTACGCTAGAACTGAACCTCAATTGGCTGGGAACTGGCCCCTCTGCAAGCACTAAATACTCCTAACCAATGAGCCATCTCTCCAGTGTGAAGGCCCAAAAATGTGAGCCTATTTCCACCTTGTCTGATGGTCAGAGTTTGGAGGTTACTCAAAATAGTTGACAAGCATAGCTGCACAGCCCAGCTCAGGATGTGATTACTTGGTTCTTTTGACATTAAGATGGTTCATACAGGTAGATCCATTTCATCCTGACAGATGGTCAGGATATGTAAACATATTCTGCTCCTTCTTTTGTATTGAGGTTACCTGGTGAGTGGCTGCCTTCAGGATACTTAGTCTAGGGTAGCTTCACTGCCTAAACAACAGAATGCTAATTATTTGTTGCATCAAAGTGTTAAAGCAATTAATTGTTCAAGTTGTCCTTTGTATTGTGTTAAAGAAGTATTTTGTTGTCTTTTTCCCCTTTTGTATTGGGGTATAGAAGTATATGGAAAACTAAATAAACACAGATGGATTTCAGTATTCACTGGAGTGCCCTCCTGGTACTTTCTAAGGTTTCTGTTTTTATTATTTTCACATGTCTTGGTATTCTTTACTAATATTTCTAAATCTTTCTGCCCTTACCCTGGTAAGATGTATTTTTGTCAAGGCCAGTCCCCAATACTTCAGCCCCTCAGACAGCTTTCTTATACAGCCCAGACCTACCTACCTAGGGAGGGTACCACCTGCAGAGCCTGAGTCCTCCCTACCTCAGTGAACTGAGTTCTTCCTCACGGACTTTACATGAATTTCCTTTCCTCATGATTTACATGAATCATCAATCAAGACAATCTCTCACAGAATCTGATCTGTGGGCAATCACCCAGTTAAGACTCCCTCAAATTACTCTGAGCTGTGTCAAATTGACTGATGAAGCTACCTAGGACACATAATATTAAAGTTGGTTGAGATCCTAAAAATCTACAAAAATATAAAACTCTACTTAAGAATTCAGCAAGTTTTCATGTCATACCTTTAATAATGACCCTCTTCTCATACTCTGTGAGAGGTACTTTGTCTTTCCAGTTAAGAAAATTGGCAAATTCCAGATAGTTAATCAGGCCATCCTGATCCACATCACAGTAATCAAACAGCTGGTCCAGAAGCACCTTGTCTAGATGTAGGTTTGCCTGGTCACAAGCTTCATGCAGTTCTTCTCTGTCAATCACCCCATCTCCTTTCTGTCAACCAGTAAGCAAAGAAGAGTAATATGAGTGTGGTCTCTGATTTAAAACAAAAATGGCTCTAGCACACACACTCAGCAAATTCCAACCTCCACTAAGAGGAATCAAATATTATGTATGTAAAGCAAGAATTATCCTCATTGACTCAACCTGATAGACACACTTTGCAGTTTGTGATCCTAGCATAAGCAGAGTATAATTCAGAACCCTTTTGTTATTGGTCCTGATGATTCATTCCAGGCCCTTGCACACATTCAACACATATGAGCTATGCTCACAACCCCACTTATTTTAATCATCCTTTTCTTTTCTTTTCTTCCTCTTATTTACTTATTTATTTTAGTATTTTATTGTTTTGAGGCAAGGTCTCATGCAGTCTAGGCCAGCTTTATGATCAACTGTGTAGCTGAGAATGCCCGTGAATTCTGGTCCTCGTACCTCTGCCTCCCAAGTGCTGGAATGACAGGCTTGCTCTCACACACCCTGCTTAATCATATCCTTTAAACCAAACTATGTGCCCTGGAATGTAGCTGTCATAATCATAAAACACGCTTGACATTCTACTTGAGCAATGTTTTTGCATGTCTGACAGTTCATTATAATTTTTCATGCTGACAGAGTTAACACCTTCTATTTTCTCACCAGGGCCATAAATTGTCCTCTATTTCATTGCTTACCAACAAGGAAAATAGAGATGATAGTACAAAGCAAAGGTTAGGAAGGCCTAGCAAAGGAGAGAAGCTACAACCCCTCAAGTCTACCCTCATTGTAACATTGTTAAGATTCATTCTTCCAGAGAGGGAAAAACCCTTAGTCTCCTTACATGTGATAGTTAAAGGCATAAATGACTACACTAAGTATTACTGGAGGGAAATTAATGACAGAATAAAGAGAAATTTGATTGGGTCCCTTGAAAGAAGAGGGAGCAGAGTAGATAGTTCTTGTTAAGGAAGAAAGTCCATAGCTAGGACATCTTAACCACTCAGTCCCTCATGTGTTCCTTCAAGCCAACCTTAGATGCACTCAGAGATGATGTTGAGGAGCTAAGGATTTCATTTTGTGCTCCACACCACGCTTTGGGTGGTGAATTCTGGGTGCTGTAAGTGGGAATATAGCTCAAGAGTAGAATGTTTGCCTCAACTGTGTGAGGCCCTAACTTCTATACCAAGTACTGAAAAAAATAAAGGAAAAAAAGGAATATTTGAATGTGTTAGCCCATTAGAGAGATTTAGGGAAAGAATTTGCAAGAGAAACTACTTATGAATGAATCATTGAGCATTACTGGGGCTGTAGCTGCCCAAAGTTGAATTCAGTGCCATTGAAGATAAATCCCCACAGAAATGGCCCAGTGAGACAGACCAAGTGAATTCTAAATAAATTACTGTGGCCCTGGAGAAGTTCTCTATCCCTCCTGTTGTTAACACATATTACCTTGACAATATATATAAATAGCCTGGATTAAAGTAAACTCCTTTATAAATATCTCTATGGTAAACCCAAACCAACCAAACCATGAACCTGCTACCCTGTCAGGAAAACAATGTAGTAGCTACTGTTGGAATCAAAGAGTTCACAAAGCTAAAATAGATGCTGTCAATATTGACAGCTTTGCTGTCAAATACAAGGCTTGTATCCACTGAAAGCACAGGCATTTTATTTTCATTAAACTCATGTTACTCAAAGCTCAAGGAAATGGTGGGGGGACAGGGAGCATAAGAATTTGCCTTATGAATTATAGGGACAATGATAGACAACAGTGAAAAGTCCCAGTTGTAACTCTGAGTCCCGCCAAACTCTTAGTGTCCTTCTATTCCAGTGCTGTGGACTGTGTGTGTTTAACAGCTGGCTCTCAGGTAGGTGGAGAATAAGGAAATCCTAATTTTAGTTTTTAGAGTGAGAGTTGTTCAGGTCTTGGTTTTTTGAGACAGAGCCTCACTCAGGCTTGTGTCTGTTATCATCATCCTGGCCCTGGCTCCCAAATGTTGGGTCTTAGGCATGTACTACCACACTCCTCAGAAAGCTCTGAGTTGTAACAGTTGCTGTACTCCATGGTCCAATTCTTTTCCTTCGTTGGGACTATTTTGTAGTTGCCAGTATGATACCCTTTGGCTTGCAAACTTGATGATATGCTTTCTCAAGCCTGCTTATGCTTAAGTGGCATAATGCTGCCACTCAAATTTATGGTTAACATTTTCAGGTTCCAAGTAACTTAATGTCTACAAATATCCAGGGCAATGCTTAATGGGACAATATGCACTCAATAAATGATACTTATAAGGAAGAATATTCATTTAGGAAACCAAAGTTTGTTTGCTGTCTTGATTATTTTTCTATGAAACTGAATCAGGCGTTCAATAGTTTTAGATTCCACTGCACTAGATCCACATTGTCCTGGCTTCTCAGTAAAACATTCCTTAAGGATGCCAAACACTACACTGTACAGATTAAAAGTTGATGGTTTAAAAGATGCATCATCATTAAACAATGCTCAGGGATGTGCTGTCATCATAAGGAGCCTGCCTAGTGGCTTACTTAGATAACCAGCAGCTATTAAGAAGATCGTATTTCTTTTTACTGCATTCAAAATGAACTTTTAAAAAGCAAAGGCAGATGTCCTAGTTAGGGTTTCTACTGCTGTGATGAAACACCATGACAAAAAAAAAAAAGGAGAAAAGGCTTACACATCTGTATTGCTGTTCATCTTCAAAGGAAGTCAAGATAGGAACTTAAACATGGCAGGATCGTAGAGACAGGAGCTGATACAGAGGCCACAGAGAGACACTGCTTACTGGCTTGCTCCCATGGTTTTCTTAGCCTGTTTTACAGAAGCAGGACCAGCAGCCTAGGGATGGCACCACCCACAACAGGCTGGGTTACTCCCACATCAATTACTAATTAAGAATTGTCCTATATCTGATAGAAGCATTTTTCTCAATTGAAGCTCCCTCCTTTCAGATAACTCTAGTTTGCGTCAAGTTGCCATTAAGACTAGTCAGTACAGCAGATTCTTTTGTTCATATTTGTAAGCTGTTTAAAACTGACTGAAGGGAGCTAGAGTCTAGTTTTGTGACAAAGCACTTATCTAGGAAGTATGATGCCTGAGTTTCATCCCAACAGTACACACACACACACACACACACACACACACACACTCACATACAAATTACAAAAGATTTGAGTGAGGCATAATAGTGCATGCCTGTAATCTCAACTTGGAAGTGGAGACAGGAGGCTCAGAATCCAAGGACAGCCTGTGCTACAGGTAACCCCATCTAGACAAGTTTGTACGAGTATGGGGGTGCTCTGTCAGTCTATCTCTATCTCTTTCTCTGTCTGTCTGTCTCTATGTATATATGAAAAAAAATTTTAAATCTGATTATTTTAACTTACATATTTTTATATTGAAAATCATCTTGAAATTGAGGATACCCAGTAGTCATTAAAAAACAGACAAAGCATCAAATATATTTTCTCTTTCTTAATTTAATCTCTAATTATGTGTATGTGTCCATATGAGGGAATGTGCACATTGTGCAGGTGCCCAGTGAGTCAAGAAGAGGGCATCAGATTCCCTGGAGCTGGAGCTAAAAGTAATTATGAGCCAATTGCAAATACTGGGAATGAACTCAGGTCCTCTACAAGAACTAAGAGCCATCTCTACAACCACACATACATTTTATTTACTTTTCATTCTTTTCTTTTTCTTTTCCTTTTTTTTATTTGTTTGTTTCTTCTATTGTGACAGGGTCTCTCTGTGTAGTCCTAGCTGCCCTGGAAATTGCTATGTAGATCAGCCTGGCCTCAAACTCACCTGAAATCTGTCTGTGCCTGGCTACCCAATGATGGAATTAAAGGAAGGTGCTGTCTTGACTCACTTATACTTACACTTTCTTAAAACACATTTTTGAGGGCAACACAGTGACTTATAGACATCTGTTGTCACCTGTGTGGTTATCATAACTTCTTTACAGAGGGTGGGAGACAAAGACAAAACAGGGTTTTGCTAAACAGCCCTATCAACAGGCCTCAAAAAACTTGATTCTCCTGCATCATCCATGGAATACTAACCAGTCCAACGTTTGATGCCTCAAATTAGTACAATTAGAAGTGAATATGTTTTGTTTTCTGTTTATATTTTATTTTATTGATAATGAAAAATATTGCTCATTAGTGCACAATTATGTAATTCCTAGGCCTAAAGCCAAAGTAGTTGTTCTTAAATAAATTAGCCAGTGAGCAATGGATATTTTAATTAATTTTTAAAATGAAAAAAAGCACACACAAACACTGTGATCAGCACAGGAAGAGAGACAGGAATATTTCTTTTTTCTCTTTTTTAAATTATTCTGCACACACACAGAGAGAGAGAGAGAGAAAGAGAGAGAGAGAGAGAGAGAGAGAGAGAGAGTAATTTACAATTTAACGAGATACTTATACTTAGGAAATTACATAGTACATAAACCCATTAAGGATCAGAAGGAAGATAAGCTAATGCAGAACTAAGATTTCAAGGTTTTGTAAAGACTTTTAAGGTTTGTTTTGTATTTCACTTGGCCTTATTCATATCTCAATTAGAGCACCATGCGGTAACATAATTTATATTCATGTTACCCTGGATTCTTTATAATTATTTATTGCAAATTTGTGCCTGTATCTATTAACTTTCTTTTATATGAATAATGTACACAAATTTCTTAAAATTTTTGCTTATTTAATTTTGAGTAAAAGCTAAATTCACAATTAATAATGGTTGTTTTACTCTATACCAACACACATCGTATGTATTGATATCACACTCATTCGAAAATGGTTTGTAGGTTCAGCAAAAAAAAAAGCTCAGTGTGTAGGGGCACTCATGCCAGACCTGATGACCTGAGTTTAATCCCCAGATCCTACAAGAATCTTTTTAAATCCTCTTAAACTCTAAACTCTTAAATTCTAAACTGCCTAGAAAACCAGATAAAATGAGGCACAAAAAGGAGTAGAGGAAAATCAAAGCAAAGTAAGAATGAAAAATAAATTTAAAAGGCCACAAAGTTGACACTGAAATTATTCAATAGGCTGTGAGCTTCCTGAAAAGCAGGACAAAAATTTAAAAAAGGAACTGAAGGTGCAAGTCAGAGCATGCCACGTGCTTAGCATGTGTAAAGTCCCAGGTTCAACCCCCAGCACCCAAAACTAAATGAACAAATTACATTTACAGTAATTTAAAATTTTTTAATCTTGGCATGGAGGTGCAGCCCAATTGATTAGCATACTCAAAGCCAGTTTCTAAATCCCCAGTACCACATAAACCAGATGTGGTTTTATGTAAAGTCTTTAATTCTTACATCTTGTGCTACAACACAAGAGCTACAAGAGACCCTGTCTCAAAAAAAAAAATCAAATTATCTTGCACCCATTAGCTGGATATCATTCCCAAGTCAATGGTATTCTATGATTCACTTAGATATAGATTGAAGTTTCTATGTATAGACACCAAAACTTAAGTATAAGACTGTCCAGTGTCCCCTGCAGATCCGCAGAGCTACACTTTCCCTTGTTCTCAGAACACTGAGAATTACCCAGTTCTGTTTATGTGAAGGACAAAAGTAGCCATTGACCATGCTTCAAACCACACAGTCATAAATCAACTAAACTGCACTCACAAGAACAAGTAATGAGTTGGCTATGACTTACAGGCCATAGTTTACTAACCCCCCTATCTGCACCAGTCTGCTGGAATTTACGAATGTGTCATAACCCCCTTGTTCTGTAGGACTACTGGCCTTGTCATAGTGCCTGAAAGCTGACAGCAAAGTGTTAAAGTGTTGATAATTAAATTTCTTCAAGTGGTGACGAGCAGCGGTAATCAGGGCTCGCTGGCGGTCTTTGCCACGAAGATATTCACCAGGGCGTCTGTAATGGATGAGATCACCAGCTCCTATTGAAGAAAGAAGTTGTCTTACATGTGAATCTAAAATATGCTCATAGTGTTTCCAGAGAAAGAAACAGGGGCAGAGATAGACAAAAGCAGAGAGACCTAGAAACCTCTAGAATGAAAAACACAAAACCCAATCATATCTAATGCTGGCACTTCCCACCACTACTTCGGTTTTGTAGACAAGGTCTCATGTAGCTCAGGCTGGCATCACTGAACTCACAGCAATCCTTTCAGTCTCCTAAGAACTGGAATTCCAGGGGTACAGAGCACACTCGCTCTGATACTATTGTGCAGAATACTTCTGTGTATAAAAAATAGACATAAAAGTTAATGTTTCTGTTTGGTCTTTTTAAATAAGGATGTAATGCATGCACGGCTGTATGCAGGAGTGCACATTCATGAAAGTGCAGGCAAGAGGCCAGAGAAGAACTTCAGGTGTCTCTGAATGTGACACAGCAGGCAGCTCACATTTTCAGGACAGATGTTAGTAAGTTCCAAGGACCTACTTATCTCTGACCCACAATGCTGGAGTTACAGATGTGGAGAGCCATTCCTGGCTTTGCACATGGGTCCTCGGGCTATTACAGCAAGCATTCTTACTTCTGAGTCATCTCCGTACCCACAAGTCTCTGATTATGAAAACATCTACTAGGCATTGTGGATTGTGCCTGCAATTCCAGTACAAAGGAGGCTGAAGAAGTTCACTAGTTTACTAAGTGAAGAAGGTCACTAGTTCAAAGCCAGTCTAGGCAACACACTGAATTTCAAGTGAGACTTAGTTACATAGTACGACCCTGTCTCAGAATACAAAAAAGAAAAAGAGAAGCAAAATCAATCAAATCCAATATGCTAATAAACGCTAGTGTGTTTCTTTCCTTTTGAAGTATGCCTCTTATTTTATGTTTACGGTGTTGAGGACTCCCCCAAGGGCCACATCGTGCTGGGCAAGTACTCTACCACTGAACTCTAGCTCCAGGTCTTTCTGTTCTTTATTATTTATAAAACAAAGACTGCCTTAGTCAAAAGTGGAGCACACACCTACCTTGTCTTGGCTAATGTTTTGTCAGCTCTACACAAGCTACAATTATCTGAAAAGAGGCAAGCCTGTCACTTCTTGACTGGTGATGGATGTGGGAAGGCCCATTCAGCTGTAGATTGTGGGACTGGGCAGGAGGTGCTGTGCTGTATAAGAAAGCATGTTTGAGCAAGCCCTGGGGAGCAAGTCAATAAGAAGTGCTCCTCTGTGGGCTCTGCTTCAGTTTCTGTTTTCAGAGTTCCTGATATGGCTTTCCTCAGTGGTAGAGTGTAAAATGTAAGTTGAAATAAACACTTTCTTTCCCAAGTTGCTTTTTTCAGTCAAGGTGTTTATCACAATAGAAAACAAACTAACATATACCTGAGGCCAGCCCGGGCTATTCAGTGAGACTAAATCAAAACAAAAGCTCAGCATGTTATCACAGTTCTGTAACCCTAGTAGAAGGCTGTGATGGGAGAATCAGGAGTTCAAGGCCTTTTTGGCTATATAGCAAGTTGGAGCTCAAACAGGAAGAACTTTAAAAAAAAAAAATTTAAAGACAAACTAGAGGAAAGACCTCCTAACAAATGTCTTCTGCAACCTACAGATTGGTTGATGATTTGCTGGCTGGCTGGTTGGCTGAGAGTGGTTCTAAATTATGTGGCTGTGCAAACAGCAGAGTGCTTATGATTGCTCTCTCTCTCTCATTTTTGAGGTAAGATCTCTCTTGGCTAAGGACATACATAGAGGTGGGCATTTGTTCACATTGCGAAAAGCCCTGGGTTCAATCCCATACTGAAAAGAACAATCAAAAAATTTTAGACATGTTCTCTTGCTCTAAGATATCCACAAACTTCAAGAAACCATCCAGTCTTAGTCTCTCAAATGCTTGGATTACAGAATGAGCCACCATCCCTGACGAGGGTACATTACAATTTAAATGTGTTTCAAGATGGGTCCCATGGATAAACAAATGTGTTGCTGTGCACAGTGTAATCCTGGGATTGGAAGAGATAGATAAGACATACAGCAAGTTAGAGATCAGAGTGTTGTACTGACTCAAAAACAAATATCACAAAACAGTTTCAGATTCTGCAAATTTATAATGTGGCTTAAAATATGCATTTCTCCTCCTTATTTTTAATATTTTATGCATATGAATATTTTGTCTGCATGTGTGTCTGTGTCGTACATGTGTGCCTAGTGTTCACAGAAGCCAGAGAGGGTATTGCATCTCCTGAAAGTGAAGTGAGCCACCATGTGAGTGCTGGGAATTGAACCCTAGTCCTCTAGAAGATCAAGTGCTCTTACCCATTGAGTCATCTCTGCAGCCTTCATTTCTGTGTTTAATATTTATAGCACAATTAATAAAAATCCAGAGACAAATATTGGGGTTCAACATGAAGGTCAGAAAAGCAAAACATCTGGCCGATGGCTCTTACCTCTACCTCAGCCTGAAATGGTGATCCTGCCTCCAGGAATCTCAGAATGAGACTGTGTCTGTGAGCTGTTCCTCCCATCTTATAGTCCTCTCTAGGGCTGGGATTAAAGGTGTGCACCACTACTGCCCAGATTCTATGGTAACTAGTGTGGTTACTGGGATTAAAGGTGTGTGTCACCACTGCCTGGTCTGTAAGACTGACCAATGAGGCTGTTTTACTCTCTGATCTTTAGAAAAACTTTACTTATTAAAATACAAATGAAATATCATTATCTTTTCCCTTTTTGTCTAAAATAAAAAGGAGGCTATAACTAATATAAAAACAATATGCAATAAGTACAATGACTGTATGCAATATATATATATAGGCAATAAATACATCAACAATGTTTAGTCCACTTACATTTGACAAATTCAGAGAAAATATGCCATTTCTATCTATCTTAGTGAGTCCAAAATCTTATACCTAATTTACTTTCTATCATAATTTGCTTTCTGCCTCAGGTAAACAAGGAAAACTATAACTGTAATTATCTATTCTTCAACTCCCTCAGAGATTTAAGAAGGAAATAATATGTAGCAGCATCTTATTTGTATTTTAATAAATAAAGCTTGCCTGAAGATCAGAGAGTAAAACAGCCCCACTGGTCAGCCATGCAGATCATACAATGGTAGCACACATCTTTAATCCCAATAGCCATACTAGTTGCCATGGAAACTAGGTGATGCATACCTTTAAACCCAGTGGTGCACACCTTTAATCCCAGAACTAGAGAGGATTATAAAACAGAAGGAGACAACTCTCCGACATAGCCTCATTCTGAGATTCCTAGAGGCAGGATCACTATTTCAGACTGAGGTAGAGGTAAGAGTCAGTGGCCAGGTGTTTTGCTTTTCTGACCTTCGGGTTAAACCCCAATATCTTTCTCTAGGTTTCTATTAATCATGCTACAAGTATATACTTACTGAGCAAGAGAGATAACTGAGTGATTAAGAGCATGTAATGCTCTAACAGAGGACCCGAGTTCACATCCTGTCACCCACATCAGATGACTCACAACCATTTGTAACTCTAAGTCCAAGGAATTCAGCTCCTCTGATCTACAGGCTACCTGCACACACATGTACATATACTTACTTACTTGTGTATAGGGTAAATGGGGGACATGTGCACAGGCATGAGCACTTAGAGGCTCACAAGTACACCACGGCACTCATGAGGAGGTCAAAGGACAGCACTTGGAAGCTCGCTGTCCTTCCACCATACGGGTCCCAAGTTTGGCACTGAGTCATCTTGCCAAACCAGATTTTGCAATATTTTTTTGTTTTGTTTGTTTGTTTGTTTTCAAGACAGGGTTTCTCTGTGTAACAGCTCTGGCTATCCTGGATCTCCCTCTGTAGAGCAGGCTGGCCTCAAACTCACAGAGATCCTCCTGTCTCTGCCTCCCAAGTGCTGGGAATAAAGGCATGCACCACCACAGCCCAGCCAGAATTTGTATTTTTAAGAGGCACCAAGAGACCTCCCTGTCATAATGTAAGTACAACACTGAAATTAAATGAAAAGCTAGCTTATCTCACTGAGTTCGCTTAACAAGTTTATATTTATTTTCTAAGTAAAAGTCCATATACAGTATTAATGATAGGATCTTTAAACTGTATTAGTTCACATATAACATAAAAAATATTTCTCATACATTATTAATGTTATAAAGCTTTAATGCTTTCACAGCTGAAGCTTTGGGGACTGGAAACAGCATAATGATAGAATGCTGTGTCTAGCATGCATCAGGCTCTGGGTCAACCTCTATCACTACAAAAGCATGTATATGTATCTGTGTCCATGGTGAATGCAGCAGCATAGCTTTCTTGGTATGTTTTTCAACAGTTTATTTAGTATGCATCCAAGGTCAGCATGCTGAGCAATAACAAGACCTCAGCACCTGCAGCCCTTTATGGGAATTTGGGGGAAAGAGATTATTTCAGATATTTCAATACATGTTGAAAGCATGAGGGTTGATAGAAAACGAGACTCTCGGAAAGTCACACCCAGGACCTGAGTGTGGGCTTCTCTAAGAAAGCCACTCCTTTAATGGGCATGTGTTAATTTGTCAAGAAGAAAAGTCATATATTTACCATAGTCCTCAGGCTGGAGGCAAGCTCCAAATGTGTGGCCTGGGTCAACATTCATAGTTTCTGCAATTCTACAGGAGAAAGCAGACTCTTTAGTTAAAGTTTTCACCATCTGAAGCTCAACATTATATATGTTTGCCTTAAGACCGTAACAAACTACCATAGACTATAGTCTATAGACTCTTCTATAGATACACTGTGAAAAATCAAAGGGAAGGCACAAGAGTCTAGTGTTCATTTACATTAACAATGGCTGAAGGTTTTCCAGCAGACCATTCCATGGAAAGGGAGGGATGGAGGTGGGGGTGATAGGATTCAAAGCAAATATGGTCAAAATAATTTTTTCTCATATACAAGAAATTAAGCTTCATACAGAATTCTCTCTCCCTCTTCTCCAAATGTGTACAAGTCTACTGCTGTAGGCAGTGACAGTATTCCACTGATAAACAACAGAAAAATAGTTTTCTTATTCAATAAAAGAAATCTAGTAAAATGCAAATCAACACTGGTTTTCAATGGTTGGCCTCCAATTCAATAATATAGGTAAGGATGACCTTAAGCTCCTGTCCTCCTGCCTCTACTTTTCAGTACTAAGATCACAGATGTGTGCCATCAAGCCTATCCAGATGACCAGAGGACCACTCAACATGGAAGCAAGAGAGCTGATGAGGCCTCAAGTTCAAACTCACGGGTCTAAAACTCTTCCAAGTTTGTGTTGAAACTTTTCCTTGAAGTCATCAGCTCTTTGGGATACAATTTTAGCTCCTCGTTTCCTACAAAATGAGAAAGTTGTCAGGTGTCTTTATTATTAAAATGTCATCAGCTGTAAAATATTCACACAGTAAAAGATATCATAATATCACTGTGCCTTCAATGAACAAGTCTCAGAAAACATTCCATGCTTAACACTACATGTATTGATACTTCTATCACAAAATCTGTAATAAAAAAACATTTGGTAGATAGTAGACAGCATGATCTGTATAGAAAGTGGGGGTATGACCTATCCAAGGTATGGTTGAGAAGAAGGTTTGTATGGTAGATATGAGGAAGAGTACAGACAGAGGCTTCTAGAAGAGTCCAGAAGAGCAAGAGAAAGTAGTGAACTAAACATGAACCACAGACTGAACAGGTCCATGAGAGGAAAGAGAGGGAGGAAGAAAAGAGAGGATGAGGAAGAGTTCAGGCAAAGGAAACCAAGAAAACACATGGCAAAAACGGCAGGGTTATATAAAAATCAAAAGCTGGGGCAAGGGAAGCTCATAATGTGGAAAAATTTAGGGTAGGTGACAGGTGAGAAAAGCTGAGAGAAGCCATGGGTACCGAGTCATCTTAGACTTTCATATGCTAATAGGCACCATCATTCACCATTTGTCCCTTTTTCTTTTGGACCTGGCAGTCTGGAAGAACACTCGCCTAGCATTAATACAGTAAAGGGGGGGGGGCAATCCAAAGGAAACACTTTGGCAATATGAATCAAAAAATATGAAAATGTTTTCAGGCAGGACAGAAAGATAGAGAATATGTGTAAGGTTAAAGGGTCAGCCAAAAAACCCACCCTGGTCCTGAAACCAGAGCCAGTGAAAGAAATATTTTAGCCCTGAACTCAGAACCAAAGAAATATACCCTGACTTTGAAACCAGTGCCAAAGAAACACACTTTGAACCTAGAATCAGAGTCAGTTAAAGAAATATGCCCTGGCCTCAAAACTAGAGCCAAAAAGCCATAAAATAATCAGCGTGACCCTGAAACCAGAGCTAAATCTGCCCTTGATTAACTAAGCAGAAAAACCAAACAATCTCTGTGCAAGGAAACGAACCAATCCCTGAGCACAGATCTAGTCAATATGAGATCAAGGGACTGAAATCTAACCAATTCCCACCCTGAAAATCTTCACCCTGGAAAAACCTTGCCCCTAAGAATTCCTATATAAGCTCTGGACCTGTTCAGTTTGAGGCTGCCCTTTTTCCACCCTGGCTGAGGCAGCCACTCTCCTGGATTGTTCCCTCCCAATAAATCTCTTCAAGGAGGTTTGGGTGAGACCTTCTTTCGCTGGAGCAGAGACCGAGCAGAGCAAGGCTGTAAGCTGCTATGTGTACAGTGAGCAGTGTTATTCCCTGGCTCATGAGTGCCAGAATACTCTTCCATCCAAGCCATGGCACTCAGTATTCCCTGGTCCCCAACCACCAGAACACTCTTCCACCTGAGCAGTAACACTCAGTATGCCTTGGCTTCTGACTGCCAGGATCCCTTTCCATCTGAGCCTCAATGCTTACAATATGGAACATGCGAAGGGAAAGATGCTCCCCATAGGATCAAAGTTCCTTTGATGTAGAGATATCTCAAATAAGAACGTTAAAATAATAGTGAACCACACTTAATTGTATAACCATATACAGACTTAGTCCTATGCCACTTATAATGTTAAAATAATAATGAACTACTCTTAAGGTCTAAACGTATACTTCCTTACTCCTCTCCCAATTGTAAAGTACTTAGTTCAGAGAATGTCACTAAAAAACTATAAATGTTTACATAAAAATATGTCTTGGGGGCAAGCTCACACTAAATAAATGTTTAAAGAAAATGAGGGCTGACATAAAAGCTGACAATGAGGGCTGACTGAGAAGCCAAGGACAATAGCACTGGGTTTTTATTCTACTGCATGTACTGGCTTTGTGGGAGCCTGGTCTGTTTGGATGTTCACCTTCTTAGACCTGGATGGAGGGGGGAGGACCTTGGACTTCCCACAGGGCAGGGCACCCTGACTGCTTTTAGGACTAGAGAGGAAGGGGGAGGGGAAGTGGAGGGAGTGGGAGGGAAATTGGAGGAGGAGAGGAGGTGGAAATTTTTAATAAAGAAAAAAAAAGAAAAGCACAGTTGCTTCTTTGTCACCCGTGATTTTACTTTGTCTGCTATTGTCCTACTCAATGCCTCCTCAGATCCCTGACCTCATTTACTGGAGGTAAAGGAAAAGAGAGAGTTCCTCAGCAACCCTTTGAGGCCAAACTTTAGAAGCCACCAAGTCACATACACAAACATTGTAAAGAGATTTAGGCAAGATTCTTTCTTTCACCCACACCTGGGTGAGTACTGCCTTCCTTTCCTATAAGCTCCTACCTCCTCCCACCCCCCCACACACACACTTGTATTTATGTTAAAGTATCTTCTTAGGGGCTACAGAAGCAGCTCAGAGGACGACAGCAGGAGGATCTGGGTTCAGATTCCAAACAGCCACCTAAAAAAGCTGAGTCTACTCATAAGTGCATTCTGAGAACATATGACAAGGGTGGGGAGGCAGATCCCATGAGCTCCCTCTGGCCAGCCAGTTTGCCAAACATGGTAAGCTTCTATTTCAGTGAAAGACACTGCCTCTGGGGGATAAGGTGGAGAGCAACAAGGAAAGATACTTGACAATGTCTTCCTCTGGCCTCCACATGAACTTGGACAGTTTTGTGCATACATTACACATGTACAAACACATACACATACCCCACAGACAACACAAAAAAAGCCATAACTGTTTAAAATGTTTTAATCTCTGCTAATAAGTTCAACTCTGCTTCTCATACCAAATCGTCCTGAAATTCTTTTCTGTGGCAATGTCAAAAATGCCAGTTTCACTCAGAAAAGAACTTCTCAGGCTGGGGTGTGTGTTTGTGTGTGTTTGTGTGTGTGTGTGTGTGTGTGTGTGTGTGTGTGTGTGTGTGTGTGTGTAGCTGCATCCCTCTTTTCCCTACCATGTTTATGTCTTTTTATGTCCACCTAAGAATCAGTAGTAAGGAAGCACTCCATGCGGTGTTTAGAAACATGGGAAGCAGGGCTGGAGAGAGGGCTCCGGGTGAAGAGCACTTGTTGCTCTTGCAGAGGACCCAGGTTCAATCCTCAGAACCCATGCATGGGCTCAGCTTCAGAGATCTAAATCCTTCTTCTGCCCTGTGTGTACACTACAAACACAGGGTACACAGGCATACATATAGGCAAAACACCATATACATAAAAATAGCTAATAAAACCACTTTTAATGCAGAAAACCGGAGCAGTGGAGCAACTATGATTAGTTAGTCAGGAGGTTATAGCAGGGGAACGTGCCAGTCCAATAAACAGAAGCAGAGCCTGTCTCTCTAAAAAGAGAAAGCATTTATATCACACACACACACATATGCCAACACACATTAGCTGAGGGCTGGGGAACTAGCTCAGTTGTTAAAGAACTTGCTGTACAAACTTGAAGCTGAACTTCAGGTGCTCAGAATGCATGTTTCAACATGCCTATAACACTAGTTTCCGAGGGAGAGACAGGATCCAGGATCCCTAAAGCAAGCTAACCAGGAAAACTGTTAGGGAGCACAGGGTTTGACTGAGATACCTGGCCTCAAAGAATGATCAAAAAACATTATCAACACCACCCTGAGACCTCCACATATGTATACACATACATGTGCACTCCACACATTAACACAAGTGCCACACACACACACGTACACAGGAAAAAATCTGTTTGACTTACCTAGCATGTTTTGTGTGTGTGTGCGTATGTGTGTGTGTGTGTGTGTGAGATATGACTCAGTGGTTCATGAAAACATTATACTCTCATTAGTTATAATAGAAAAATCCAAATGTTCAGTCATGACAGGTGATTAAGAACAGCCTTGCATGCATTTTAGGCTCCAGTTATGAAGACTACACACTCTTAAGTAATTAGTTTGTAGTAACAACATGAGAGTCGGGAAAGCCAGCTGAAAGTATTGCTTTCCTATGGATGCTATAACAAGTTACCACAAACAGCTTCAAACAACGAAACTGCTCTTGCAGCTCCGTAGGCAGTTGTGGAATCAAGAGGTTCAGCATGCTCATATATCCTCCAAAGGAGAAACCATTCCTTGCTTTTTTCTGCATCTGTTGTCTGTTGGTATTGTTGGTGTCCTTGATTAGAACCACGGTCATGAAGGAAGAGAAAGATCACAGGCCTAAGGAGAAGTGAGGGTGCCGCAGGCAGCAGCGCTGAAGCTACTGCTGAAGGCACTAAAGGGGAAGATAAGCAAGATTGCAACAGGGAGAAGGGAGAAGCTTTAAGCAAGGTGGTAACTGGAAGATTACCTCGCACTTTGACCGAGGAGCTGCTTTAGAAACTTCAACCTATACCTGAGCACGATTATTTTGAGGTTTTTTCCAATGATACTAGTCTGTACCCTCATATGTATGCCAGAGCATATATCAACTTTAAAAGCCAAGAAGGCATTATTTTATTCAGGGACTGATTTAATGACTTTGTTTTCCTCAACAATAAAGGTCAGAAATATCATGTTATAGTAGAATTTGCGCCTTTTCCAAAAGCTGCACAGAGAAGATTAAGAAAAGAGATGCAAAAGTTGGGACTATCGATGTTGATCCAGAATACAGAAAATTTTTGGAGAGTTATGCCACAAACAATGGGAAAATGACATCTATTCCAGAGAAATTGCTGGAGGAAATAAATAGAAGCCAAAAATAGAGACTTAATAGCTAAAAGGACAACCCCAATTTTGAACTTTCTAAAGAACAAGCAGCGAATGAGAGAAGAAAGGGAGGAGGAAAGGAGGAGACAAGAAATAGAAAGGAAAAGGCGGTGAGAAGAGAGAAGAAAATAGAAATAGGAGGAGAAATAAAAAAGAAAAGATATAGAAAAGCTAAAGAAGATAGAGAGAGTTCCAGAAAGGGGGGGGGAGATTAAGCTGCTCAAGAAACCAGAAAAGGGAGATGAAAAAGACCTTGATAAAGAGATAAAGTCAAGAAAATGGACAAAAAGAATCTGAATGAAGAAAGAACCAGTGGGCAAAGTTGTACTCTGTCCAGGTGTTCTGATGTCAAACAGAAAGTGAAAGCCAAAGGGGCCTGATGATGAGAATGCCAGAGATTACAGGGACCGAGATCAGGATTATGAAAGATAGGATGACGCACCAAAAAGAAGAACGCAGGAGGCAAAAGCAGAAGGACAGGAGCGCTATGAAAAAGAGAAGGCTTTCAAAACGAAGAAGAGGAACTGAAGAGAGAAAAAGAAGCACTTCGAGATAAAGGGAAGAAGAGTGAGAATACAGAATCAATATACACCTCAGAAAAAGCTGAAAAGAAAGAGGAAGTGGTTAAGAGAGACCGCATAAGGAACAAGGATCGTCCAGCAATGCAGCTGTACCAGTTGGGAGCTCGAAGCCAAAATCGACTCTGTACCTCTGATGACAACATCAAGCCTGGAGATTCCCCAGTGGAAAAAAAAAAAGCAGGAAAGTAGTATTAACCATAGAAAAGAAGGAGGAGAGGAGTGAAAAGTCCCAGTGGCCATAGGTGTCCTGACTGTCCAGGCAGCCAAAGCTCACGTATTATGCTATCCAGAAGCACCTTCAGGGCAAAGGAAAGGGGTCACTGTGCTGCTGGGATGCACTATAGAGGAGTGTAGTGTGTCTAAGCAGGAATAAGATTGCAGGCTCAGAATCGGAAGTACAATTTCATTGTTTCTTGCACTTGTCACAAGTTATTTTTAATGTCTCAAAAAAAGACAGTAGCAAGAACATTGCAAGTGCAAAGTAAGGACTTAACTTTGTATGACATAAGTGAAAAGGAGCAGGGTCTAAAACTAACAGGTTTTCTTAACCCTGGCTTAGAGGGGCTTAGCTTGAGTGGAGCAGAAGCATACAAAGTCTTGTCACGGTCTAACTGTTTTGCATTGTTAGTGATAACTGTTGACTCTGTAGTGTAGAGGCAACAAGCATGTAATCGTAGCACAAGTGAGTGTAAGATAGAGCAGATTATGGCAGATGTACAAGATTTAAATAGTCATGTTACATCTATATCCTGTGTCTGAAGTTCTTGTAATTACAGCTTGTTTTGTTTACTTCTGTGAACTTAGCATCAAAAAAATTTGTAAATGTCTCGTTTTGCCTTTAGCAATTTTTTTCCTATTAATAGGTGAAGTGTAGTCTTTGGTTAGCTGTTGACAGTCTAGTCTTTGTTCTACCTTAGGTCTGATGAGTTGAGTGCACACCCTCTCCATGAAGAAAACTACACCAATATATCTGTTCCTGTTAAATGGCAGCTTTCAGTCTTAGCTTGTTTTGTATTGCTGTCAATAAATTTTGACAGAAGTAGAAGAAGAAGAAGAAGAAGAAGAAGAAGAAGAAGGAGGAGGAGGA